GGGCCGAGCATTGTCCTTATCGAGCAAGATTGACTTTTTTTTTTTACCTGCTCGAGCTCGATTTATGACGCTTGAGATCGACTCGACAAAAGAAGACAATTGCTTGAGATCGATTGAAATCAAAATGCTCGAAAAATTGCTTGAGCTCAGATCGAGTTTGGCTCAAATTTCAAGTAAATATTATATTTATATATGAAGGGTATTTTAGCAATTCACTACATATCTCGAGCCGCTCGCGATCTTCCAAAATCTATGTTCGAGAACGAGCATGCTCGAGTTCGATCAAACTCGAGCTTTGACTCGAGCACTCTCGTCTCGCAAGCCGCTCGCTTCGTTTGCAACCCTAGTTTCGCCTATGCATTTTTACCCCCAATGTACAGTTATAAATTTTTCATTATAAACTTTCTGAAAATTTTTCGAGTTCTACAGATTGTTATTGGAAGTTTTCCTCTTCCCGGACAACAACAACAAGAGCAGCAAAGGCCTAGAAAACCAAATTACGAGCAAACGATATCATTCACTCCCGTTGAGACTAATCCTATTTCCGAACATAGATATGGAGCACCATCTTATAACGGGCCAAATCCAAATTTGACAAAATCAGCTTCTTTCAACCTGGTTAATATAAACTCTTCCCACAGCCCCAAAAGCACAGATAGGGAGCCGAGCCATGAAATAACGTGTTGATTAGCTTAACTGTTGTGTTTGTTTGACCCGAACTTAATGTTTATCGATAGGTACCCGATTAGGATCGTTGGTCGTTTAGGATTTTTTGGTGTTGTACTTGCCGATTTTTCGTACTGTGTGTAATGATGTTGTTATGTACTTCTGTATGAAACTTGAAATAATGGTTTGGAATTGCTTGCATTATTCATGAAGTGATTTGATTGTACTGTTTACTTCTTTTGAATGTAGGATAGTTTGATGATATTGTGTTGGGTAGGATTCTTGTCTAATCCCATGTTTGTTTAGACTGTTTGATCGTGATTGTAATGTGAATGTTGGAAAAGTAAAGCCTCGTTGACTGTAAGGAGTACAAAATTGTGCCAAGGTCTTATTGTGCATGAGAGGTCTATGAGATAAATTACTTTGTTTTTCAGTGTAAATAACTAGTACGTGACCCGCGCGTTGCGCGGCTTGACATTAAAAATAATTTGGGTGAATTATAATTTGATATACATAAAACATGTATAGAACTAATAAAAAGTAAGATAAATATTTTTTTAATATATTCAAGATATTCTCATGAATATAATCTTAGTAATCGATGAACTGTATTCATTATGACCATTATCATAAATAATAACCATCAAACAATTGGAATCAGTGACTCCGGGAAACAACATATAACTGATTGTGAGTAAAAAAAACTATATGTTTTTTTTTAAAAAAATATATATAATTAAATTAAAAATAATTTATGATATTCAACGAAAAATATTTTTCACATTAATTACACTCCTTGAAACTTCATCATTCTCGCATAATAAAGACATTAATACTATTATATAGGTAAATTGATATGAAATAATTGAAATAAACATGTAGAAATATG